TCTTTTTCCAAGACTGCTATTTCTGAAAGGTGCAAGAGAACTGGAAATTGTTCTATGGGAATTAGTTAATGTTTGATAAATGGCTTAAGAACACATTGAAGTGATCAGAGAGCATGTCATCACTGCATGATCAGACAGCATGTCAGAAAACCCTTGTGCTTTCTGCAGCTCCTAGAGGCAGTCTCATGACTGATGTCTTATTGCTCCACTGTGTGTTCTATCAGCTCTTCCATCAGAGATGGAAAGTGCCTTTTCTTTGAAGCCTGTGTTTGAAAAGCACTGTGTTTTTGGCCACGTTTGATCAGTCTGGAAAAGTATGATATCATTTAAAAGGATATCAGAAGAATATTTTGGCTGAGGGCAGGAAGAAGTACCTGTAATCCAAAATACAGCCCACGAGTCAGATCCAGTTTACCAACTGATTGTATCCAGCCCACAAGCTGGCAGCCACAAACTCATGGAATTCAGCCCAGAGGCAGCTGGTGGCTCCAGCTGTGGCTGGCTGGCATGGGGATTGGAGTGTGCTGCAGCTGTGGGTGAGGCAGGGATTAGGGTGTGCTGCAGCTCCAGGCATCATGATTGGGCATCATGGAGATCACAGTGAGAGTGAGAGTGAGAGTGAGAGTGAGAGTGAGAGAGGGAGAGGGAGAGACAGAGAAGTGTGGCCCTCGAGAGGACACCAAAACTCATTAATTGTCCACCCCTAACTTAGGGAGGTTTGGTGAGAAGTTGCAGGGCCATTGGATGAGGAGACGCTGATCCAGTTCAGGGGTGGCGGATGCTAATCTAACCTGCAACAGCTCACCAAACCTCCCTAAATCCAGCCCAAATAATTACCTACCCCTGCTATAATCTATACGGAATCTAATGAGTATTTTTTTTTTAGATTTTGGTGAACGTTTCCCTGATTTTCTTGATATCACTTGCAAAAACATCTTTTCATTGTTTGTGGAAAGAATCCATATGAGATGTAGGCATATTAGATATGTTAGGGCTTTGACCAAGGCTTTCATAGGCTTTGGCTATTCTGAGCACTTTCCAAACCCAGCAACACTCACTGAAGGAAGGGTGCAACTTTGGGTAGCACTAACATGTGCTGGGGTGGCACTAGTTCCTACAATCCCTGCAAGAAGAGGCACAAGGTCCTTCCCTTCTGCTCTTGCACTGTGTCTAAGCTTGAGTTCCAGTATCTGGCCCCAAAGTAACAATGACTCCAAATACACAAAAAAGGATTTCATTAGTAAGCAAGAGCTATGTCACATTATCTCTTTTTTTATCAGAGCTGTACCATAAGTGTCAATGTTCAGTTACACTACTTCTCTTCCTATAGCAGAAGAAAGTTGCATTACCGATGACCACAAGGAATGCATCCTGTGGTGACAGATGTTGCAGTTTGTAGATGCTCCCTTACTTAGACTACAGAGGTTGGGAATTGAAGAAGGTCCCTTAATTAAGCTAGTTAGAGACAGACAAAGGGGTCTGTAGAGTTTACCCATTGCTCCACAATAAAACGTGTTTAGTTCTCCTCATTGGTTGCAGGCTTAGTGAACCCAGAGAACACTATACCTCCCACTACTGCCTAGCATTTCATTTCACTCCTTCTTAATTTTGTCTAACTACCTTATTGAAGCTTTACTAACAAGAGCACATGTAAAAGCTGGAGGTCCCTTATACACAGGGGTCAAACATTTACTTTAAACCTGCTGTTCCAGTGATGACAATCCAATTAAACAGAAAGAGAATATTGCTGCTTAGAAGGTTTACAACATGAAGGTGTATGATACACTATATAACCATTTTATGATATTCTATGCCTTCAAGCTATATACTGATGTTTTAAGTAGCTGCAGGCCTGTGGTTTCTATGGGTTATTTGTGACAACAAAACAGGAAGCTAGTGTCTTCACATTCAGAGCCTTGTGATCCTTCCAAGGCCACAAACTAAACAGTGCCAGACTGGGTAATTAATCAAACACAAGGAATGATGTATATCTTTAGCAGCTAACACCTAGATAGAGTCTGGTGGAATCTTCATAATGAAAAAGTTTGTTCTGTTGTTCCCCCCCCTTCCCAATTTGTGACATCTGAAGCAGTAACAAGTTTCCTTATGAAAACTGTCTGTTTAAAATCTTCAATGACTGGACTTCTGTGACTGTCAGCATTACCAGGAAAGTTCTGTGACAAAATGTTATACTTCTGAATTTCTGAGTTGTTTGGCTTGAACATAAGATAGGCAGTATTAATTATGGCTTCTTAAAAGGAAGGATGGCCAAGCAATTGGGGCACTACATGGGATCTTAGGAGACTTAGGTTCAATTCTCTGCTCTGCCACAGATTTTGTGTGACCTTGGACAAGTCACATCTCTTTGTGCCTCAGATTCCCATCTGTAAAATGGGGACAGCAGTGCTTCTTTCCAAAAGTACTTCTACATTCCAAGAGATTGCAGTGCATTCAAGTACTGTGGTAATTGTACCATGGCTGTTTAAGTACCTTAGATAGAAGTGTTTGAGTCTTCCCAATATCCTAAAGGATCTTAGATAGTATGAAAATAAAGATGAATCGTTTGTACTACTGTATAAGAGCAACTGCACTGGTCTTAAATAACATGTCTTGGGCACTGCCTATGTTTAGGTCTTTGTGAGTTAGATGCTATTCATCCTTCACAGCATCTTTTTCTTGTTAATTTTTGTCATGGTGTGGGGTCCCCGGGGATGGCTGTGATGCTCCTAGGGCTCTGTGACCATGCCAGTTCTGCCCTGCAGATACCTTCTAATCTTTCCTGCCACGTCTTGGTTAAAATAATAAGTTGGGAGGCTGCCCACAAGTTTGTCTAGTCATGATCCTGTAGAACCCCACTGGACCCTGCAGGTTCTTGAATCCTTTATCAGGTCTTGCTTTAAGTCAGTGCCTCATGGGACACCCTAAGCCTTATGGGCTAGATGCATAGCTCCAAAACCTTCCCTTCACCATGCTCCATGCCCCACAGGTGGTATTTAAATATTATCTTTCTAATAATGTCTTGGCTTAACTGGGACTTCCATGATTACTGGGCTCTGTGGCCCCTGTGACTGCACCCCTGTGGTGCTGGGGCTCTGCACAATTGTGTGCCCCAATGAGGCCTCCTCCTTCCCTTCACCATGCTCCATGCCCCACAGGTGGTATTTAAATATTATCTTTCTAATAATGTCTTGGCTTAACTGGGACTTCCATGATTACTGGGCTCTGTGGCCCCTGTGACTGCACCCCTGTGGTGCTGGGGCTCTGCACAATTGTGTGCCCCAATGAGGCCTCCTCCTCCCCTATTAGCCTCTTCCCGGTTCACCAGTATAAAAGATAACAGAAAAACAAGCCCCTGGGCTACAACATAAAAATAATAATGGAGGCCACACCCTGCCCCTTTAAAAAGGTAAACATCTCTCTTATTCTTTTGTGCCTCCTAGCCCCAGGTACCTTATGGGCTCCCTAACCTTGCAGGCAGAAGACCAGGCCATTAAACATCTCCAAGTAGTTCTTTCCTGCAAGAGCTCCTTCCCCTGGCAGCTGCCAGAGAACTAACTCCTGCTAGCCCCAGCCCTGGGCTTATATGTGTCCAGGGTCCTACCTCCTTCCAGCCAGCTGACCAGGTGCAGGTGCCAACTTATTCCCTGATTAGCCTGGTGCCACAGCAATCTGCCGCTATGAAGCTCTGCCTAGCTCTCAGGGCTCTCTAGCTAAGCTGCTTCTGCCCTTAAAGGAAGCAGGGATGCCTTAGTGCCCTATGACAATTTTGAAAATACTTTTGAAGAATGAGCTAGCTTTGTGAAGTCAATCATTGTGGTGTACCATGACCAGTGGGGCTCCCCAAGGCTCCGTCCTTGGGCCTATTCTTTTCAACATCTTCATTAATGATGTGGACATTGATATCAGAAGCAGACTGGCCAAGTTGGATGATCACACCAAACTTTAGGGTAAAGCATCCACACCCAAGGACAAGATGGTGATCCAGGCCAACCTTGACAGGCTCGGAAAATGGACGGATGAAAACCTTATGGCCTTCAACACTGAAAAATGCAAGGTACTCCACCTTGGGAAGAAAATCCCACAGCATGCTTATAGGCTTGGCAGTGCTACACTAGCTAGGACCATGGCCAAAAGGGCCTTGGGGGTCATGATTGACCACAAGATGAATATCAGCCATCAGTATGATGTTGCAGCCAGCAAAGCAAGCAAAACTCTGGCTTGCATCCATAGATGCTTCTCTAGCAAATCCCAGGATGTCATCCTCCCACTGTACTCAGCCTTGGTGCATCCAATTCTTGGCCCCACAATTCGAAAAGGATGTGGAGAAGCTTGAGAGAGTCCAGAGAGCCACATACATAATCAGAGGGCAGGAAAACAGACGTTATGATGAGAGGCTGAGAGCTATGGGACTCCTCAGCCTGGAAAATGCAGACTCAGGGGGGACCTGTTAGTCGCCTATAAGTATATAAGGGGTGTACATCAGGATCTGGGGGAATGCTTGTTCACCAGAGCACCCCAAGGGATGACAAGGTCAAATGGTCACAAACTCCTCCTATACCATTTCAGGCTGGACATAAGGAAGAACTTCTTTACTGTACAAGTCCCCAAAGCCTGGAACAGACTGCCACCAGAGATGGTGCAAGCACCTACTCTGGACTCCTTTAAGAGTCAATTGGATGTTTATCTTGCTGGGATCCTGTGACCCCAACTAACTTCTGGCCCTTTGGGCGGGGGGCTGGACTTGATGATCTTCCGAGGTCCCTTCCAGTCCTAATGTCTATGAAATCTATGAAACCCTCAATCACTTGTTCCCCATGGCAGTTGTGTGTTTATGCTGTATAAAGGAACCTACCCCTTTTTAGACTCCTTCCATTCCACTGTATTATAGGGAAGTGAAGATAATTTGTTTTAATTAGTAATAAACCTCTTTCAAAACAATCTGAGTTTCGAAGCATAAATTGCACTCTCAGACAGAAACAAAACGGATAGATAAGGCTGTGATAAAATATTTTACTAAAATATCATCAGACATTCAGTTTTTGTTAGCTTAACATTTAGATGTCCTAGGCAAATAATGTAAACAGTGTCATGCATATTTATATTAGAACTAAAAAGTTACCTGTGCAAGTACAATCATACTTTGTGGCATCAGATATGCTATACATAATTAGCCCTTTTGCTACATTGAGTTTTTACATATGGCCAATGAATGATTACAAAAATATAGACTAGGACTTTCTGAGGAGCCTAAGAGATTTATCTTCACAAACCCTATTCACATTCTTGAGATGTGGACCCTGCGGCACCTTTGAAAATCCCAGCCAAAATTTAAAAAAATAAATAAAAAGTTGTTCAAAGAGTTTAGGATTTACATTATTTATTAACATCACTTTATTTTCTTAAAAAGAGCTTGTGTTGAGGGGAATGGAAACTTTAGGATGCTGAAATATATTTTAATTAACTGTAATCCATTGTCAGCTTTGTTGTTTGTTTTTAGGGGCCCAATGGCTAAACTGAAAGACAGCAGAGTACCTTTCAAATTTCTAGAGTGATTCAAAATGTCCTGATCTGATTGTTTTCTGAACCATTGAGTATAAAAATGTTACAATATAGCACTTCCTCTGCAAATAAGCTCTTTAAATAATTCATTCTAAAGCATGTCATCAGATATTTTTTTAAAAAAATCATACATCTAGCACTGCATAATTTGTGTTTACAAAACCAATAAATAGCCTTGGCAGGATTTGATTGTTATTGATAAACATAGATAAATGTCCAGGGCAGTGGGCCCTGAGGGCCATGTTCCCAGAGCTCTAAGAGTGCTGCTGCCCTCCTCCTTTGGTCCCTGATCACCCAGCTCTTTCTTGATGAATGAAAAGAATGATTTAAAAAAGATATGATTTATTGATATATGGATATTTACTTTTTATATGTTGATGTGTGATTTTATAAAGCTTTTAACAGTATCCTGTCATTACTACATTGCCTGCACCCCACATCCCTAATTTCATACCATCCTGAAAATGTAAATAGATAACAATTGAAATAAAGGCTTAGAATTGAACACTGCTTTTAGCCACCAAAATTATTTAAAAAATAAAAATTGAATTCTGCCAAGCCTACTAATAAATGTTTCCAGATTTTCCATACTGACCACTATTAGCAAAATATAAATAATTTGGCAAAGTTCATTAGCTGTTCAGTGTAATGTTGCTAAAACCATTATCAGTGACTTAAACTGCAACAGTTCTTTTCATTTGGCTAATACCAAAATTGGCAAGTGTTAGTTTTTAAACTAATGAATTTGCTATACCTGTGATCAATTATTTTCTTATGGTTTTTGTAATAATGTAACTTAATGTTTTAGTCTCTAATAATATCTTTCACTTATTACTGTTCAGAGCAGATTTATCAAGTGTATAGAACTAAAAAAAGAAATCAAAATATAACTTAAATAATTGTGATGAAAGTAGGATATATCAGTCAAAACCATTCCTTCAGATAATGCAAAAAGGGCAGCTGAACTATTTAAATTGAGACCATTTGCTAGCCTTCAGTAATGAATATCTCAAACAATTTAGCCAACTAGCCACAATAATATTAATAATATAGAGTCCTAGACAAACACATGTTATATTCTGAACATAACATAGTGACAATATTATTTTAAATGGAAGTAATGATGGGAATCCATATTTCCATAAGCTGCTAGAACCACACAAATACATGGGGAGGAAGCGGTGTTCATGTTGGGAAGTCAGAAGGCAGGGTTGAGATGCACCTTATGGACTAACTAAATCAGACATGCATAAGCTTCTGTGAGCCTGAGTTCACATTATCAGCACTTTATCACTGTATCATCATCTGATTAAGTGAATTCATGCACACCCTGCCTTCTTCCTGACTTCAAACTAACAAAGCAAACTCCCTCTCTCTGCTTATCGTGGGATAGTCCTTTAAACAATCTCCAGAGAATTCATTGCCAGTAACATGGTGACCATAAACTTAACATGAATCCCTTTTTTACAAACAGTAGGGCAGATTCTGCAATCTTGATTCACATTAAGCTGTACTTCACTAGTGATTCTGTGGAACATAACAGAGCCACTCTTGGTCCAAAATACCACCCATCCATTTTGAGGAAGGGTACCAGAATCTGGACCTCAAAAGGTGACTCTTCTCTTCATAGTAAGAAAGGATCACAAAGTCTTTACAAAATTATGTACGAATTGTAATTGATAGAGGGATTTCAGTACCTCATAAGTCACATTCACTTCAGGGAAGCAGCACAGAAATATGCTGGTAAGGGAAAGGCCTGAGTCTTTGTGCACAAATTCAGCCTACCTAAGGCTAAACAGCCACACCATCTAACAGAACTGACCACTACATTTTCTCACATATAACCATAGGCAGAGGGAGAAGAAAATTGGGGGGGGGCTGAGCATGTGCACCCCCCCCGGTAGAAAGTCTGCAGGGAGAGAGGCAGTGGGCGGGGGAGAGGGAATGGGGCTGGGGCTGGGGCTGGGGCTAGGGCTAGGGCTTGGCACGGATCGGGAGGGAGTAGAGGTGAGCCAGGCCCAGATAGATCCTGGGGTGCCAAAAAGTGATCTTTACCATAAAAAGGTTGGAGACCACCGTTTTAAAGGATCATATTCATTAACGTAACTAAGTTAAATGAGAGCAGTTTTTCTACCTGGTATTTAGCTTGGGTTGTATTTGCTTCTTTCCCAGATCTGAGGAAAAGGTTTGTGTAACTTCTGTCCTAGCCACACAGCTGGTCCAATAAAAGATATTATCTCACCCTAGAAATCTGGCATCTTACATATTCCCTGGACCATCACAGCTACAGCAACAACACTGCTACTAGATTTTAATGTCTAGAACAGAAAAATCATTCTTCTGATATTGAATACTTTTTGCTAACTATAAAGGACAAAGCTGCTCCTAGTGGACAGGATAATAATAGTATTAGGCACAGAGATAGTGGCTATGTGATATCCAACAGTGAATGTGGGCTGAGAGCTACAATCAGAGCCGTCCCTAGGGGTGTGCTGGTCTGGGGCATATCAGCCTGTGCAGGGCCTGGGGGGGCGGGGTGGCAAGCAGCCAGAGCTGGCAGCCCTTGGCAGCAGTGGCAGAGCCAGTGGTTCTTGGCAGTGGTGGCACATGGCAGCTGTGACGGGGCCTATACAGCACTGACCACAAGGCCCACAAAAGCGTGGAGCCCGGGGCAGTCACCCTGATTCACCCCCTTTAGGGATGGCCCTAGCTACAAGGGACTGATGAAGAATTTTCCTTAGTGCAAGAGCAGCAGAGTAAATAGTCTTACCATACTTCATTTCACAGTCTCCAGCACAGGGGCAAGGCTATGGACAGACCAGGGACATTCCCTTAAAACTCAGCGCTACAGGAATTCCATAGTGCAGCATCAGCATAGACATATATCAATGTCATGGTGCAATATCAGCATATCAATATGTTGTCCCAAAGGGGGACATCCTCCAGGAATGCTGTTACTTATGCAAATGCCAGTTTTAGCCATTTTGAGCCACCTATCTCCTTCTTTCTTCTGGCCTCTGCAGAAGCACAGCACAGAACCTGCCCTGTGTCTTTAATCTTTACATTGGCATCATGCACAGCTTGTGTATTCATGTCCTACGACAGCCCTAGAAATTCTTTACATTGAGAAGGACAGTTAAGAAAAGTGGTGAAAAAATTGAAGCTTGGCTTAAGGATCCTGATCCACCTCCCCCACTGAGACGACCAGCAAAATAACTTCAGATATAGCTGGGGTGTGTTCCCTGATGCTGAACAAACAGAAAAGATTTGCTCATCCTGTGATATGCAAATTAAGTACACTCCATGTTGCACTGCACCAGAAATGAACAAATCATTGTTCTTGTTCCTGTTATTACAGTTATCATTATCACTTCCCAGATCTAGAGATACTTATGCTCACCTTCAGAGAGAACTATGTGATAAGGTATACTTATTCTTCTACCTTAAGCTCAATGCCATGAAACTGATGTTGGAATTGTTGAAATATTGGAAATTTCATGTTCATTTTAGACTTGTAACTTTCCCTTACAGAAAATATACAGTAAATGTAGTCAATAACTATTTTTCCAGTCCCCAAATCTAAACCCTGGAGCATACACCTAACTTTGAGCAGGAGTAATTCCACTGATTTCAGTAAAACTATCATGTTTGAAGTTAGGCACATATTTAAGCATCTAGATGAATTGGGGTCCCAAGCTACAATAATTAGTCACTTACAGCAAAATGCATCATACTAGTTCATATAACTGTATCAGAATATTGTATTTATGAGATTTCAAAGTACTTCTAGTAAAACATCAATTAAATATAGCCTTGGGTTGTGGTATATATTTGTAAATAAAACTGATAGGTTGGAGTCTATCTGTTATATGTTAGCCATGATGGAACATAATTCCCCATAAATCAGTGGGAATTTTGCAGATGTTGTGACTACAGAATTTACCCTCTACATTTTCACTTTATTTATCAGTTGCATTTACTTTAAGGGCTCAGTCCTATGTTCCTTGTACATCAAAAGCTCCCATGGATCTCTAGAAACACTGGATACTAAAAAAAACAGAGAATCAGGCTCTTGGTCTATAACATTAAGCGGACATGTTTGATTACAGCAGAATTTTTTTGCTCCTCCCTGAATTCATGACAGGAAGGAAGATGTTTATAATACATTGTCTCATTGATTTAAAGTGATCATAATTCAGTTCCAACAAACCATGTTACAAAATTATCATATTTTCTCACATATAACCTATACCTTTCCCCCCACCCCCCAAAAAAACAAACTGGGGAAAATTGGGGTGCACATTATGTGCAAGAAAAAGAGAGCCTTAGGGATCCAGAAATGTGGCTGGGGAGTGGGAAAGGAGTAGTGGGAACATTAATTGCTGTAGCTCTGGGTACCAAGATAATTAACATGCCACTGCTCCCCACCCCACATCACCAGATTTCCAGAGCCATGGGGAGCCACTCTCCCCATCCACATACCAGATTCAGCCTGTGCACAGGGCTGGTCCATGGCCAAAGCCAGTGCATTAAGTACAACCTAGCATACAGCTCTGGGCCTGGTATGCTAGATGGTGCCTAGCACGCTGTTTACGAAGCCATGTGCTGGGTTGGAGTTGGCATGCTGAGTCTGGGACCATGCACTGGCTCTTGGACCATGTTCTAGGTTGGACCTAGCATGTGGCTCCAGAGCCAGGGCATAGTCGGCATTCAGCCCCAGAGACAGCGTGTGGGGTTGGACATGGCGCACGTCTATGCAGTCCCAAACTGGCTATGCCCTCAGGCTGTGCAGTCCCAGACCTGCCACCTGGATATATAGCACTTCCTCTGCAAATAAGCTCTTTAAATAATTCATTCTAAAGCATGTCATCAGATATTTTTTTAAAAAAATCATACATCTAGCACTGCATAATTTGTGTTTACAAAACCAATAAATAGCCTTGGCAGGATTTGATTGTTATTGATAAACATAGATAAATGTCCAGGGCAGTGGGCCCTGAGGGCCATGTTCCCAGAGCTCTAAGAGTGCTGCTGCCCTCCTCCTTTGGTCCCTGATCACCCAGCTCTTTCTTGATGAATGAAAAGAATGATTTAAAAAAGATATGATTTATTGATATATGGATATTTACTTTTTATATGTTGATGTGTGATTTTATAAAGCTTTTAACAGTATCCTGTCATTACTACATTGCCTGCACCCCACATCCCTAATTTCATACCATCCTGAAAATGTAAATAGATAACAATTGAAATAAAGGCTTAGAATTGAACACTGCTTTTAGCCACCAAAATTATTTAAAAAATAAAAATTGAATTCTGCCAAGCCTACTAATAAATGTTTCCAGATTTTCCATACTGACCACTATTAGCAAAATATAAATAATTTGGCAAAGTTCATTAGCTGTTCAGTGTAATGTTGCTAAAACCATTATCAGTGACTTAAACTGCAACAGTTCTTTTCATTTGGCTAATACCAAAATTGGCAAGTGTTAGTTTTTAAACTAATGAATTTGCTATACCTGTGATCAATTATTTTCTTATGGTTTTTGTAATAATGTAACTTAATGTTTTAGTCTCTAATAATATCTTTCACTTATTACTGTTCAGAGCAGATTTATCAAGTGTATAGAACTAAAAAAAGAAATCAAAATATAACTTAAATAATTGTGATGAAAGTAGGATATATCAGTCAAAACCATTCCTTCAGATAATGCAAAAAGGGCAGCTGAACTATTTAAATTGAGACCATTTGCTAGCCTTCAGTAATGAATATCTCAAACAATTTAGCCAACTAGCCACAATAATATTAATAATATAGAGTCCTAGACAAACACATGTTATATTCTGAACATAACATAGTGACAATATTATTTTAAATGGAAGTAATGATGGGAATCCATATTTCCATAAGCTGCTAGAACCACACAAATACATGGGGAGGAAGCGGTGTTCATGTTGGGAAGTCAGAAGGCAGGGTTGAGATGCACCTTATGGACTAACTAAATCAGACATGCATAAGCTTCTGTGAGCCTGAGTTCACATTATCAGCACTTTATCACTGTATCATCATCTGATTAAGTGAATTCATGCACACCCTGCCTTCTTCCTGACTTCAAACTAACAAAGCAAACTCCCTCTCTCTGCTTATCGTGGGATAGTCCTTTAAACAATCTCCAGAGAATTCATTGCCAGTAACATGGTGACCATAAACTTAACATGAATCCCTTTTTTACAAACAGTAGGGCAGATTCTGCAATCTTGATTCACATTAAGCTGTACTTCACTAGTGATTCTGTGGAACATAACAGAGCCACTCTTGGTCCAAAATACCACCCATCCATTTTGAGGAAGGGTACCAGAATCTGGACCTCAAAAGGTGACTCTTCTCTTCATAGTAAGAAAGGATCACAAAGTCTTTACAAAATTATGTACGAATTGTAATTGATAGAGGGATTTCAGTACCTCATAAGTCACATTCACTTCAGGGAAGCAGCACAGAAATATGCTGGTAAGGGAAAGGCCTGAGTCTTTGTGCACAAATTCAGCCTACCTAAGGCTAAACAGCCACACCATCTAACAGAACTGACCACTACATTTTCTCACATATAACCATAGGCAGAGGGAGAAGAAAATTGGGGGGGGGCTGAGCATGTGCACCCCCCCCGGTAGAAAGTCTGCAGGGAGAGAGGCAGTGGGCGGGGGAGAGGGAATGGGGCTGGGGCTGGGGCTGGGGCTAGGGCTAGGGCTTGGCACGGATCGGGAGGGAGTAGAGGTGAGCCAGGCCCAGATAGATCCTGGGGTGCCAAAAAGTGATCTTTACCATAAAAAGGTTGGAGACCACCGTTTTAAAGGATCATATTCATTAACGTAACTAAGTTAAATGAGAGCAGTTTTTCTACCTGGTATTTAGCTTGGGTTGTATTTGCTTCTTTCCCAGATCTGAGGAAAAGGTTTGTGTAACTTCTGTCCTAGCCACACAGCTGGTCCAATAAAAGATATTATCTCACCCTAGAAATCTGGCATCTTACATATTCCCTGGACCATCACAGCTACAGCAACAACACTGCTACTAGATTTTAATGTCTAGAACAGAAAAATCATTCTTCTGATATTGAATACTTTTTGCTAACTATAAAGGACAAAGCTGCTCCTAGTGGACAGGATAATAATAGTATTAGGCACAGAGATAGTGGCTATGTGATATCCAACAGTGAATGTGGGCTGAGAGCTACAATCAGAGCCGTCCCTAGGGGTGTGCTGGTCTGGGGCATATCAGCCTGTGCAGGGCCTGGGGGGGCGGGGTGGCAAGCAGCCAGAGCTGGCAGCCCTTGGCAGCAGTGGCAGAGCCAGTGGTTCTTGGCAGTGGTGGCACATGGCAGCTGTGACGGGGCCTATACAGCACTGACCACAAGGCCCACAAAAGCGTGGAGCCCGGGGCAGTCACCCTGATTCACCCCCTTTAGGGATGGCCCTAGCTACAAGGGACTGATGAAGAATTTTCCTTAGTGCAAGAGCAGCAGAGTAAATAGTCTTACCATACTTCATTTCACAGTCTCCAGCACAGGGGCAAGGCTATGGACAGACCAGGGACATTCCCTTAAAACTCAGCGCTACAGGAATTCCATAGTGCAGCATCAGCATAGACATATATCAATGTCATGGTGCAATATCAGCATATCAATATGTTGTCCCAAAGGGGGACATCCTCCAGGAATGCTGTTACTTATGCAAATGCCAGTTTTAGCCATTTTGAGCCACCTATCTCCTTCTTTCTTCTGGCCTCTGCAGAAGCACAGCACAGAACCTGCCCTGTGTCTTTAATCTTTACATTGGCATCATGCACAGCTTGTGTATTCATGTCCTACGACAGCCCTAGAAATTCTTTACATTGAGAAGGACAGTTAAGAAAAGTGGTGAAAAAATTGAAGCTTGGCTTAAGGATCCTGATCCACCTCCCCCACTGAGACGACCAGCAAAATAACTTCAGATATAGCTGGGGTGTGTTCCCTGATGCTGAACAAACAGAAAAGATTTGCTCATCCTGTGATATGCAAATTAAGTACACTCCATGTTGCACTGCACCAGAAATGAACAAATCATTGTTCTTGTTCCTGTTATTACAGTTATCATTATCACTTCCCAGATCTAGAGATACTTATGCTCACCTTCAGAGAGAACTATGTGATAAGGTATACTTATTCTTCTACCTTAAGCTCAATGCCATGAAACTGATGTTGGAATTGTTGAAATATTGGAAATTTCATGTTCATTTTAGACTTGTAACTTTCCCTTACAGAAAATATACAGTAAATGTAGTCAATAACTATTTTTCCAGTCCCCAAATCTAAACCCTGGAGCATACACCTAACTTTGAGCAGGAGTAATTCCACTGATTTCAGTAAAACTATCATGTTTGAAGTTAGGCACATATTTAAGCATCTAGATGAATTGGGGTCCCAAGCTACAATAATTAGTCACTTACAGCAAAATGCATCATACTAGTTCATATAACTGTATCAGAATATTGTATTTATGAGATTTCAAAGTACTTCTAGTAAAACATCAATTAAATATAGCCTTGGGTTGTGGTATATATTTGTAAATAAAACTGATAGGTTGGAGTCTATCTGTTATATGTTAGCCATGATGGAACATAATTCCCCATAAATCAGTGGGAATTTTGCAGATGTTGTGACTACAGAATTTACCCTCTACATTTTCACTTTATTTATCAGTTGCATTTACTTTAAGGGCTCAGTCCTATGTTCCTTGTACATCAAAAGCTCCCATGGATCTCTAGAAACACTGGATACTAAAAAAAACAGAGAATCAGGCTCTTGGTCTATAACATTAAGCGGACATGTTTGATTACAGCAGAATTTTTTTGCTCCTCCCTGAATTCATGACAGGAAGGAAGATGTTTATAATACATTGTCTCATTGATTTAAAGTGATCATAATTCAGTTCCAACAAACCATGTTACAAAATTATCATATTTTCTCACATATAACCTATACCTTTCCCCCCACCCCCCAAAAAAACAAACTGGGGAAAATTGGGGTGCACATTATGTGCAAGAAAAAGAGAGCCTTAGGGATCCAGAAATGTGGCTGGGGAGTGGGAAAGGAGTAGTGGGAACATTAATTGCTGTAGCTCTGGGTACCAAGATAATTAACATGCCACTGCTCCCCACCCCACATCACCAGATTTCCAGAGCCATGGGGAGCCACTCTCCCCATCCACATACCAGATTCAGCCTGTGCACAGGGCTGGTCCATGGCCAAAGCCAGTGCATTAAGTACAACCTAGCATACAGCTCTGGGCCTGGTATGCTAGATGGTGCCTAGCACGCTGTTTACGAAGCCATGTGCTGGGTTGGAGTTGGCATGCTGAGTCTGGGACCATGCACTGGCTCTTGGACCATGTTCTAGGTTGGACCTAGCATGTGGCTCCAGAGCCAGGGCATAGTCGGCATTCAGCCCCAGAGACAGCGTGTGGGGTTGGACATGGCGCACGTCTATGCAGTCCCAAACTGGCTATGCCCTCAGGCTGTGCAGTCCCAGACCTGCCACATGGATTCAGACCCATTGTGTCAGATCAGGCCTGTCACACAGTCCCACACCTACCACGTGGGGTCAGACCTGGTACATAGCCCCAAACCCACCATACTGGATTGGTCCCCATGGGTCCCAACCAGCACCCAGGGCTGGCAGCAGGCTCAGGTCCCTAGACCCTTTTTTCTACATATTACCTTTTAAAAAACAGGGTGTACATTATATTCAAGAATAGGTTATACATGAGAAAATATGGTACAATGCTCAGAAAGCGATAGCTGTGACAGTGATCCATGGATTCATAAAATCCTTTCTAGAATGAATCCAAGTCAATAGAAGTAAGTGGGACTGTCTCCACCGGACTTTGGAAAAGGCTCTATGTGCTTGATATTCAGTATGAAGTGTACCTAGAAAGCAAATCTGGTGTCCTTAAAGGCTCTTGAGATAACCCACTGTACCAAAGGCTAAGGTCTTGCAATGAGCTTTGCATAGGCATATCCTTGAATCTGAGCAAAGCCTTGTGGATTTCAGTAGTGTTCTATACAAGTCTATTGCAGGAATGTGGCCTGTCAGGAAATGTGGGAATATCCTTTTGGCCTGTAAACATTTTTAACCCCCACCACCCACCCTCAAACACACACAAATTATCTATCAAATATCTGCTTATTCGTCTATATACAATATCACTAGTCATTCTTGGACCTGTTGCTGGTGATGCCAGTGTGCAGACAGACAGAGCAGAGCAGTCACATTGACTTAAAACCTGAAAGAAAACAAAGTGCTTGCAAATAAAGAAAAGCAAAATTACCAAGTGTGAGATGGAGATTTTCACATTCCTAGACAGGTATGGAGATAACAAAAATGCTAACAGAAATATTTAATGTCTTCTTCAGTGAATGGGTCCATGTCCTGATTTCAGGGAGAGTTTTGCCTGGGTAAAGACTGGCCCTCTGGATTTTTGTGTGTTAGTTTCTTGTTTCAGCTATGTCAAGCAGCTGGGCATATTATCTACTGATTTCTCTAACTGAGACCAATAGTCCTGCTGTTCACGAGGTGTAATGTAGTGGCAAGTCACAAAGCGACAAAGTGAGAACTGAAGCTTGATTGGAAAGAATGTCTGTTTTGAATTAAGTTCCTCCAATTTGATTTGTAGTTTGGCTAGGCACAGTCCTATGTAAACATCCTCTAGTTTAATAAAGGGAACGCTTTCTGAAATATTAAGAACCTGACTAGCAACATCAGTAGAAAAAACATAACCAGTTCCTGAACAAAATGGAGGATAAGTGCTTCCAGGATATTCATATTTACTCACATACCACTTACTAAACACCTGTCGTATTGGGCGCTCATTCATTTTTAAAAACCCTGTAAAAAAGTTAGAGCTTCTGTTCTTTCTTAAAAGAAGTTCAGTCAAGTAAAAGACATTGACAAATACGTCTGAATCAGTTTTCATAACAAAACTGGACTGTTGACAGAATTTGTGAACCCATTCCATTCCCATCATTGTTTTCAAAGTCAAATTATAATATGTATCTATAAAACCCTTCTGGATAATATCTTTGTATGCCTGGCTTTCAGCGAGAACATCAGTTTGCTCGTATTGATTCTCAGTGGTTCCAAGGAGGAAAAATGTTAGAATTCGTTTCCTAGCAACTAGTTTCTCCTTCCCCCACGTTTGACGAATAGCCATCCTAGCTTCTTTCTGGTCACATGATGATGTCACAAGCAGTACTAGGAATGGAGGATTCTTACTGCAGTCCGTATCTGGCAACTGCAGGAACTTTTCAGTCTCTTTTTTAAAATAAGTCAATGATGTAACCACTTCCCCCTTCGGGCAGAATATACAGATATCACTCCAGTTGAGGGTGGTGTAAAAACAGACACACAAAAAAGATGCAACTGCTATAAGGAAAATAAACATTCTGGATATCTTGAAAGCCATCTGAAAGAAACAAGAGCAAACAATACATTATAAAAATAAAATTTAGAGCCTTTCGCTGTTGTACACCAAAATACATGCTGTTGTTTAGGGATTAAGGGCCATATATAACGTATAGTACCTGTATATGACAATTGCACACATAAGGAAACGAAAAACACTGCAGAATTGTCCAAACACATTTTCCCCAGCATCATTCCCTCAGGAGGGGAGGGCACTCTCCCAGCTGTGGACCCATCAGGGTTCTGATCCCAAGACTGAGCACATCTTCCAACGCCCACATAGGTAGACTCACTAATGGCATGATCATCAGCACTGATGTGGCACACTTCCTTACAGTGTCCCCCATTGAGCATGCCATAAAAAACATGACTCTGAGAAGCCATGCTGCCAAGAAAATCACCCTCCCAACACAAGACAGTGCTCCCATAATCCTCCATCAAGATGGAATTTACAGTAAGAGGAAGAAACAGAGGGTAAAAGAAATATCTCCACATACACCTGATTTCTCCATTCATTTGAAAGATGACCATGTCCTGAGCCCTCAAGTATGGCCAGACTAGACTGTTCTCTCCTTATCTTCTCTCCATTCTTGTCCAGCAGTCTTTTTTTATTATTCCAAAAATGGGTCCCATATTTTTCTCCATTTCTGGTCACTGTAGGTAGTGGATTTGAGAATGAGATCAGTCATCTTAGGAATAAAGAACATCATATAAGTTGAGTTGCGTTTTTCTTTCTTGTACTGTTTTGTATTTAATTTATATGTATGAGACATTTAAACACAAAGAGTAGAAACAAAAGTTGTACATTTTCATTCCTTCTCTTTTTAGAGGCTCACTCATGCTTGTAACAAAAGACTAAACTTGGCTGACCTCTCATTGATTTAGTTTAACTTGTTCTGGCATTCCACCCATGAAAGGAATTACAGGTTTCCCTTGATTTATGTCGTACATGTGTTCCCGGAGAATGGCCCATAAATCGAATTCACATAAAGTTAACCCACTTTATAATGTAACAAATAGGGATAGGTTCCCATGGTGGTGAGGGAGGGACGGAGGGAGTGAGGAGGGCACAACTTTTGCTGCAGCAGGGGTTGGGGTGAGTAGGAACAAGCAAAGCTCCAGGTGGCAAGGGGCACAGCACTGCAGTGGCCCCAGGAGCGGCCTGCACCAGCTGCAGAGGGAACTGTCAGTGGGTGTGAGGGGGGAGCACCTCTTGCTGCTCCACGCCCCCCCCCCCCCCGGGGGCGGCGGGGCGGGGGGGCGGGGCCGGGGCTTCCCTTCAGTCCCCCCCCCCCCCCCCCCCGGAGGGCTGCGGGCTGGTGGGCTGTGCTGGGCTCTTCCTGGGGGTGGTGCCCCGAGATCTGTGTGTGGACAACAGCAGGCTGTCGCTGCAGGCTGAGGCCAGTGGTGGCACTGGGCTCTTCCCAGCGCTTGGGGTGGGCCACACTGAGTGCAAGGAACAGCTCAGTGCTGCCACTGGCCCCAGCCTGCAGCGGCAGCCTGCTGTTATCCTGTGCACAGATATAGGGGGCACAGATATAGGGGCACATGCCCCCGCTGGGAAGAGGGGGTGCAGAGCAGCAAGAGGCATACCCACCCCACCTACTGACAGTTCCCTCTGCAGCTGGCACAGGCTGCTCCCAGGGCCACTGCAGCTGGGGTAAGTGCCATGCCCCATGCCACCCGTAACTCCACTTGTTCCCATTTCACCCCAGCCTCTGCTGCAGTGGCCCCAGAAGCAGCCAACACCAGTTGCCTGAACCATGGCACAGCACAGCCCAGGAGCTGGGGTGAGTAGGGACAGGAAAAGCCCTGGTGCAAGGGGATAGGTGGAGCATGGTGCAGCCCATCAGCTGCAGGCAGCTGGCACCAGCTGCTCCAGGAGCTGCTGCAGCCAGGGCTGGGGTGCATGGGGCCCTGGCCCCACAGCCCTTTCTCCTCCCCCCACAGACTTACCTGCTTGGACGGGGCAGGGGGCGCCTATGCCGATTGCATAAAAGCGAATTTACCTCACATATAATTAATTATGGGTCTAAGAATGCTCATCACATAAGAGTGAATTCATGTATAGAGAACCCACATAAATTGAGGGAAACCTGTAAAAACATATAAAGATACACAGGCAAGTGTAAAAACTTCTGGAACTTCTAAATTTCATGGGATCTTGATTTAAGCCTTCTGACTAGGATAGTTCTGCCTAGAATTTCCAGTACTAACTTAATGTCCTTCTTTCACTCAGATTCAGACATGTGCCCAGAATTCATTCTCTTTTCCAACAGTGAAGAAATTTTGTGTCAGGATAATTGTACATTCAAATCTGAATAACTGTTCTTGGAGTAAAACCCAGCTGACTCACATGTATGGTCTTGCTAACTTTAATAAGACTTCTTACATGCATAAGGCAAGCAAAATTACCTAGTGGTTTATTACAGTTCATCTCTAGATTGAAGTCCTCAATGACATTCATTTTTAACTCAACTCTATTGTTACTTAATACAAATGCACCTTACAAACTGTTGAGAAAAAAACTGTCTCACATTCCTTCTTCCACTCATTTGCCAGTGCACAGCCTTTCCATGATATACTCCTCTGTTCAGGGTTATGCCTTTTTAGTATAGCTTCTACCAGACATTTGAGTGTTATGAAAACAATTTTTTTTTAAATCATATTTTATCATATCATGCAGAAGTCCTCCTTCTTCAACAGAGCTACAGGAAATTATGTGTATCAAGATTTGTTCCTATCACATGCTAGAAAGAGGGCATTCAGAAGACTCTAAACTCCCAGTGCTTCCTAACATGGAACATTTGCAAACATAAGATTTTGATATAGCCAAGCTACTGAAAAGGAATAAAGAAATCAAAGCATGATTTCTTTCTGAGACACTTTAAGTCATTTAAACAGCAAACAGAAAAACAACAAAGGGATTGGAAAGCAAGCAGTATAAGGTAAGGCTGAGAAAACTAAGCATATTTAGCTTGCAGGTGATTAAGGTGAGACATGATAGAAGTCTTGGAATATCTGGAAAGACTGCCATAAAGAAGAGGGAAAACAACTTTTCCTCTAGCCACAGATAACAGAATGTGAAACAATGGCTTCAGAACTGCAGCAAAGTAGATTCAGATTACATATCAGCAGAAATCTCCTTCTTGTTGGAAGTGAGACAATGCCCAGGGAAGCTGTCACTTTCTTCATTGGAGGTTTCCAAGGGGAGGCCGCATAAGCAGTGGTCAGGGATGATTTAGGAGTAGCATTCTTACATCCATGCAGGAGGTTGAACCAGATGACCCTTGAAATCCCTTCCAGCCCTGTGATGGATTTGTAAGGCAAAACACAGACAGCCTGTCCTAATTTTACTTGTTTTACCTTTGTCCAACCCCAATGACTTCAACGGAGTAGAATTTTATTGGAATTACTCTTGATTTACCTCAAGGTAATTAAAACTGATCTGGTCAACATGGTTTTCTCAGTGTGCCTATGGAAGAACCCACCTTATATAGTGCCTCATCCAATACTTTCATAACTATATTTTTTCTTAAAAACTGGTGATTAAAATATTTGTAAGTACAGCTGACTAGCATTAAGGCTGAATTCAAATTCCCATTGCATCTTTTTCAACTTCTTTCATTTCACTTCTTCATACAAATTCTTTTTGGACTGAAATGGTCCATAAATGGTCTAAAGTCAAAGGTGAATGCCTTCTAATAAGTCAGCTAATCTGGTTTTAAGTATCTTTGTTATGAAATACCGTACTTACTTGAATGGATTTTTTCCCCCATTCAGCATGGGGGAAAAAAGTCTGTCTTGAATTTGAGTACCAGTACTCTGGCCTCAGCTTCCACCTGGGCCCAAAGCCAGAGGCAGAACTGTCCAGGCTGCCACTGCCATCTGGAGTCAGCAGCAGTACAGTGAGTGTAAGGGTGTGCTAGGGTGACCACCCATCCTTCATTGGGTGGGGCAGTCCCAAAATGGGAACATCAAGTCCCAGTCCCAGGCTTCATGACTCTGGGACAGCATTTTCCCAGATCCACAGTGTCATAGAGGGATCCAGGTTTTCCATTCCCCACAGAAAAATGCAGGAAAAGGGATTCCCCTTGCAGGTTGGCAGCATTCCAGGTTGTGAGGGGCTGCTTGGGGCTGGGGGAAGTAGGATGTGGGGTTGCCACATGCATGTGTGCACACGCACACATGCACAGGGCAAGGGATACAGCCAGGTACTGTGGAGAGCAGCCTCCTGCAAGTAAGTCTATGGGGGGTGGGGGGAGACATGGTGGGGGAGTGGATTCAGGCCTCCATTGTGAGGGAAGGAGTGGAGCAGGGTTGGCAGCTGGGGCTGGATGTGCTGACCAGCCAAGGCAGTGCATGAGGCCTGGGGCTGGGGCAGGAATTCATGGCCACCTGGCCTAGCTGGAGAGTCAGATGGAGCCACATGCAACTCATCTGGGGGGCTTCAAGCGGGGCTGGCTCCCTGCTGCTGCACACACTACCTGGGAACAGGGCATGGGGGGACATGTGGCCCCCAGACTTGTGCACAGGATGGAGATGGATGTGGGCTGTCTGCTGTGGGCTCAGGGCTCCATCCCCTGTTACCCTCCCTGTGGGGCCTCTGTAGCCCAGCAGGCAGGACCCGGCATGGAAAGGTAGAGAGGCTTGGTACTGCTGCTGCTGGGAGCCCCATGCTAGCCATACTGCCATGGTGAGGTCAGGTGTCCCCTGCTCACCCAGCAGCAGCAGAGGTGGTGGTGCGAAGCTGTGCCACCCGTTGCTGCCAGGCGGGCAGGGGCAACCTTGCCATGGTGGCGTGGGGCTCCTGGGGGAATGGCAGCAGGGCAGGGAGCCCTGAGCCTGCAGTGGGCAGCCTGCATCCTTCCCTACCCCCACGGGCTCAGCTCAGTTCTGCTCTGACCATGCCACGGTGGGGAGGAGGCAGAGGCAGGCTTGTGTCCCGCCTTACAGTTTTTAAAAGGTGGTAATCCTAGGCCAGCCCTAGATTGGGCAGCAGCAGGGGTCAGAGATTGGGTGGGGAAAGGGTATCAGTATGCATTGGAATCAGGTAGGGGCTGGGCACCAGTGCTGGTCAAGGTTGAGTGAGGGGTTGAGTGGGGAATGGAAATGGAATAGCTTTGGTTGGGGATCTGGTGAAGGACCAGGCAGCAGGTCTGGGAGTGGGCAGCAGTGCAGGATGGAGATCAAGCAGCAGCATGGGTTGGGGATCATGTTGAGGGGCAGCTGGGGTGCAGACACGGGGCGTCAGTCTGCCTGGCCATTACCCTCCCCCTCCCAGTGTGCTTGGAGACAAATTTAAGACAACCCTCCAGTAATCAGATTCTTTAAATATAAAATTATAACAAATTTATATCTTTTTATTTATCTAACCTAGTTTAATTGGGTGGGGGGTGGGGCAGGGAGTCATCTTAATTTTGACATTACCTTGGATTCAGGCAAATATGGTAATTTCATCCAAAAGTTCTGCATTTTAACTGAAGCTGAACATTTCAAACCTGGCTCAATTTGTGGATCTTGATTCTGAGGAGTACAGAAAGCCATAAAAAGCCATAAAAAGTACAGAAAGTACAGAAAGCCATAAAAAGTCAAACCCTAGTCTCAGGTGACTCATCTGCAAAACAAACAGCAATTAAGTTTGTCAAATTATTCCCCATTGGCTGTATTCTAATATTCTTAGCAGGCCTAACACTAACTTGTCTAGCAAGGTACTCCACCACAAGTGGAAAAGATACCACAGTCTTATTCTTTGAAAGTCTTACTCTGCTCCATTTGAAATTATAATTCTCCACTCTTAGGCCAAGCTGTGAATCCTTATTCGTGCTGTTGAGAAGTTACAGAAATGCTCCTGGTGAAGTCAAGATCATTTGTAAAGAATTGCTCACTGAAGTGAATAATAAGATTGCAATCTGCTCCTTTGTGAGAAAAAGAAGCACCATCTGATTCCAAATATAAGCCTGGTAATTACTAGGCCCATTTAATCAAGATTTTTTGGCCTTTAGGTTCCCAGTCCTGCAAACAATACCGTGCAGCCAGAATTCAAAGGGCTCTGGGCTGACACAGCACTCCAACTGTATGTTTTCAATAGAAGCATTGAAACTTTCTTTAGAAAGGTGTGTTTACTGGAACAAAGCAGCATCTTGTGCTTTGTTATTTCAATTTTAAAACATTTGCAGCAGAAAGTGTTCAAGGACTTGGATACTTTTGTGTTCTTTTTTAATGTTTCTCCTTGTGTGTGCACCTATGTGCTATTTAGATACCAAAAAGTAATTATTTGTGCTCTTACAATACTGTTTCCTTCTAACAGCTGCAAGTTTTCCTTCCCCCCTGCTAATTTTTCATACCTGGATCAATGCAGCTAATTTAATTGTGTTGGTGGGACCTTATTCTCTCATCCAGCCTCTATGGCCTTAACAGGCATGTCACAAATCAAGGGAAGAGATTCTTCTGCTCTGTTCAGCACAAGTGAAGTCTCACCTAGAGTACTATGTCCAGTTTTGGGCATACTTCAAGAAGAATGTAGACAGTTTGGAAAAGCAACAAAAATGATTAGGGGATGGGGAGGCAAGACTGATGAAGAAAGAGTGAAAGAACTCATGTTATTTAGTTTGGAGAAGAGAAGACTGAGGTGGCATTTGATAACAGTCTTCAAATACCTGAAAGGCAATTACAGAGATGATGGAGATGGGCTTTTCTTTCTGGGAAATAGGACTAGGAGCAATGGCCTCAAGCTTCAGCTGGGAAATTTAGGTTAGAGATTAGGAGGAACTTTCTGACTATGAAGCTAGTCAAGCATTGGAACAGGCTACCTAGAGAAGTTATGGAATAATCTTTGGCAGTTTTCAAGAGCAAATTAGACACTTGTCTGCCGTGGTTTAGTCAGGGATGATCCTGCCTTGAGCAGATGGACTAGATGACCTTGTGAGATCCCTTCCAGTCCTACTTCCTACTGGTAGTTTTAGAAAGCAGGCAAGTATGACAGTTGGGGTAACTATTTCAGATTTGGTTAAAGGATGCCTTTACTACTGTGCTCACCACTGTAGTATCTGAGCATATTAGCAAGAGTTATAGATTTATACTCACAACAATCCTGTAAAATAGAAGCCCCATTATACAGATAAAATATGGAGAGAGACTGAAATTTTATCCTCAAAGATGAACCATGGACTCTACAGAGTCAGTCCTATCAAAATCAGTGGGAGTCTATCTAGGGCAGGAGTCTGTGTCAAAGGGCTGGGGCCCCAATTTCCCAACCTGGGCACCCAAAAATAGCATTTATTTTAGAAAACTGTCACTTACCCAACATCCCCTAGGACAACATCCCCTGGGGCAAGAGAGAACCTAAATGTGCAGAGTCTCAGTCCAGAGCTTTAACTATAGGATCAGTTCTTCCTGTTTACCAGGGAGAAGACAAAACCTGGGAAAGAAAAAAATATTTTTCATTAAAACCGCCAGAGCTTCACAAATCATTTCTCATCTCAACTTTGGCTTTTCGTCTGTACTGTGTGCTGAAGAGGGTTGCCTTTCTCACTGGTTGACCTGTGGCCATTACCATAAATCAGGCAATGGAGTACCTCAAACATCTAACTGCACTTAGTGAAGAGGTCAGGAGCAGAACAGGCCAGACAAAGGAAATCCCTCTGTTATTGTTTTGAAAAGAAATTCATCTCGAATCAGAACAAAATAAAATTAGAATTTTTGTCCATGGGAAGAAAAATCCTGAAAATTTCTTTTTCACAAGAAGCAAAAGGAGTTGTTAATAATAATAATCAGCTTTCCCCTGGCACCTCAACTCCCTGCTTAGCTCCCCGGGGAGCTGACTTGGGTCTTTATCTCCATCTGGTGTCTTAAACAGCAAGAAGAGGCAATGGCTCATGGAGTTATTTCCCAGGGCAGCTGTTTCCTGACTCCCCAGTACATTGGAGCCTTTCAGAGTTAGACATGATAGCTGGCCTCACTGGCTTCCGCTGGAAGTTTCAGGAAAATTGACATATTTCCATGGGACATCTTGATTTTGTCAAATTGGCTTCTTCTGTTCTATATATATAGAGAGATATATATAGAACAGAAGAAGCCATTTATATGGGATTTCAAGGTCAAAATTTGAAGCGTTAAAGCCCATAGAAAAGAGACTGAAGAGGCTAAATGGAATGAAAAAGCGGATTTGGCCACAAAAGCTGGAGCAAAAGAGAGTCCCCTGTGGGAACCAAGAGAAAGGCAGAAGCACAAAGTAAATTTTTGAGCTTAGACTTGCTGGAATTGCAAAAGGAAGATAAGCAATTACAAGAGCTGGTGAGTAAACAGGAGGTTTGGGATGGAAGATTTGGAAAGACAAATTTGAGTTAATTTTAGCAGAGACAGATGAAGCCCCTGTATCGGTGGTGCCTACTCAAATCAGAACTGAAATTATTACACTAACTCATGATAACAAACATTTAGGAGTAGAAAAAACACTGAAGCAATTGCAGGCAATTGGATGGTGGCCAAAAATGAGAGAAGATATTGAGTAACGTGTACATATAACTGTTTGCCTTGTGTTGCTAATAATCCAGATGGTAAAGCAATCAAGGGACCATTGGGACATCAGAGGATTGATGGCCCCTGGAGTCGGTTGCAAATTGATTACACCGAACTGCCTAGAAGTACAAAAGGTAATAAGTATTGTTTGGTAATTATAGATGCATTTACCAAGTGGATACAAGCCATTCCCACTTGGAAAAATGATGTGTTAACTACTGCAAAAGTGCTAGTAGAGCAAGCAATCAGGGGTTGTGGACAGAGGTGATATATTGACCAGCAAGATTTTTGCAAAAAAAATCCCTTTAATTGCAAGCTTTCGGGCACAAACATCCTTCATCAGGCATCAGCAAAAAGATTTTAAAAGTTCTCCTGGGTAGAAATGAAAGTTCATGGTTCATAGGTTTTCACAGAGGAGTCAATAGATGGAAAAACCCTCTCGGCAGCAGTTCTTAGCTGGTAAGGAGTCTCAGCTCTCCTGAGAGGCTATGATGATGCAAATTACCTTTTTTGCAAAAATCTTGTTGGTCTAATAAAATATATCACCTCTCTCCATGAGCCCTGATTGCTTTTTTGTCTAGACCAATACAGCTACAACCTGCATACCTAGTAGAACAAGTGTTTTCATGCCACGAAGTACCAAAGGAAATTGACTCAGACCAAGGACCCCACTTTGTGGGAAAGGTAACCAAGGGATTATGTCAAGCTCTACGAATCAAGCAACGGTTGCATATTGAAGGCCATTCACAGAGCTCAGGTTTAGTGGAAAGAACTACTAGAACCCTAAAGTTAGCTCTGAAAAAGGTGGTAGAACAGCAACGGAAAAATTGGGATGAAAAATTAGCTTTGGTCCTAATGGCACTCCCGAGGATCAACAGCATCACATGGTTATACTCCTCATGAGGTCATAACAGGCAGGAAAATGAGATTGCCTGAACAATGGTGGCTAGGAGAAGAGCCTCTTGATCAGCTCTAGCCTTTAGTTCTCCCCCAACCAGTGCATCAAACGAATCAGTAAGTTGTGTGGGATTTTCTCTATTCCATAACCCACTAGAGACAGGGGCACTGCCATTTTCACAAGAGAAGGAAAAAGGATTCAGTGCCTTCTTTGCTTGTGGACTTCCTCTATTGTTGACTTTTGATCTAGAGGTTGGTGGTTCTACTCCCGTCCTGACTAGGCCTCAAAAGACTAGGAGTGGACACTGGCAGCAGCATCCATTTGTTCCTGTAGAGATTAGAAACAAGGTGCTTTTTGCCCTGCTTGCTCAAAAGTCTCAGGAGAAGAGACAGAGCAAGTCTAAAGGTTTCGGCATTGGAAGGAACCTGCCTCCTCCTGGCCCTGTGACCTTGAGATCCACAGAAGTACAGAAGCTGCACAAAGGAGCTGAAAGAAAGTATACTTCCTTATTGAAAGGTAAGAGTTTAAATTTCTCTGAATTCAGTATATTAAACTTTATTTTAGCTGCACTAGTATATTTTAATAACCTATGTAATTCATAATTGAATTCCTACTAATGTGATGTTTTGTGACAAATCACCCAACCTTAGCAGTGAGGTGAGGCCTGCAGGGCATGGAAGTTGTTGACAGTTAACTCTGAGGAGGCTTCTCCTCCATCTATTACTAAACTTGTGCATGCTGTAGCTTAGTGTTTATATATGCAAACTAGCCACTAAATTACATTTTTCTTTTTTCTCCCTCAGCAAAATGGTGCAACCAACTTCTAGCATATGAAAGCATTTCCACAATGCAAGTTATTCTGAAAAAAAGTGATTTGCAAATACTGTCAAATGAAATATGCATTTCCAAATGCTACTAGGATGACCAAACACACCCTTGTATGTAAGAAGTGTCCTGCAGACATTAAAAAATCTTTCATGGGTGTAAGTGAGGAGGAAGTAGATCACGATGATGAAAGTGCAAGTAGCTCTTTCCAGTGTTCTCAATCTAGAAGTCCTGCTGCTGCTGCTGCTGCTGCTTCTATAACATCAGCATCATAAAGGGATGCCCAATCAACATCCTCAAGTAGCCAAATATTGCAACCAACTGTATGCAAAAGACTCTCAATAGCTTCATTTGTAGTCAAAATGAGGCCTGAAGATCAGGAAAAAATTGACCAAGCTCTTGCAAGAGCAATATATTCTTCTGGACACCATTGTCAATAACTGAAAATACATACTGGCTTTTAAATTACTAAGACCACCATACCATTTGCCCAGCAGACTTTCTTTGAGCAAGCCTCTTTTAGAGTCAAAATATGAACGTGTAATGTAATCTGTGCAAGAAGAAATCAATGAAGAACTGTGTCTTGCAGTACTTACAAATGGATGGACAAATGTGTGGGGAAGGAATCATAAACTTTGTGTTAAGAACACCTCAACTAGTTTTTTACAGAAGCACTGAAACAGAAGAGAACAGGCATACTGCAGAGTATATCAGTAGTAAAATATGTGAAGTCCTACAGAAGATTGGGAGTGGTAAAGTATTTGCTTTGCTGACTGACAATGCAAGTAACATGAAAGCAACATGGGAGACCATAATAGATAAATATCCACATATTACTGCAATAGGATGTGCAGCGTATGGGCTAAACTTGCTTCTTAATGACATCATTAAGTTGGACACTGCAAAAGATCTATAGAAGAGCAAAATGAGTTATAAAACATGTAAAAACTACTCATATTGGAGCTGAAGTCTTTAAGAAGCAGGAAGACAAGAATGCAAAAAATAAAATAGTGACACTCAAACTCTGTAGTAAAACTACATGAGTGGAGTGGTGATCTCATTTGAAAGTTTACTACAAAACAAAGAAGCTCTTCAAGAAACAGTAATAATTGAGGATCTTAAAGTACCCAGAAGTGTTAGAAACACTGTACTTGATGAGGATGTCTTCTGGGTTCAGCTGCAGTACTCCCTGAAGATTCTAAAGCCAATTTCTTCAGCAACCACTGCATCATTATCAGACATTCCTTACCAAATGGCCCAGATAAAATCAACTGTTGTTGAGAATCTAAGTGTATTTCCACTTACAAGTACAGAAGAAAGAAAAGTGAAAGATTTTATTAACAGACAGGAAGAATTTTGTTGCCAATCAATTCATGCTGCTGCAAATCTCTTGGATCTAAGATTCAAAGGCAGAAATGTTAGTGATGATAACACTCCTGCATTTGACTGGATTACAAAACAAGCAACACACTTAGGACTTGATGTTGGAAAGGTACTTTCAAATGTTGCAGAGTACAGAACATCTTCAGGTATTTGGTCCTGGAATATAGTCTGGGACTCTGCCAAGCATATCCCTCCTGCAACATGGTGACAGGGCCTTTTCATGACACCACCTCCGACTCCTCTTGCTTCTCCTGCTTCAGATTCCTCAATCTTCTGCAGCATGTGAAAGAAATGGGTCTATGTTTGGAAATACTCGCATCAAATCAAGAAATAAACTAACGTGAAAGAATAGAGAAGCTTGTTTCAATCTGGGCAACCTTCAGTTTTCAGAAGTCTGTGAAGATGATAAAAATGAAGGATCAGAAGAAGCTGAAACTGCTGATAGTGATAGCTCAGAAAATTAGACTGATTAGACAAAGTTTCATGTATTAAAATTTGTATTAAATGAATCTTGGGGGTTTTTTTTTCCTTTTTTTTAGCTCTTTTTCTAAAAATGAGTGCTCTGTATCTGCTTGACACTGTGAAGGAAACTAAATCTAGAATACATAATAACTTTCTTTGTTTTACTATAATGTTGATAGTTGCTTCTATTTACAACTTTAATTTCTGCCTTCTTCTCATAAACTGGCAAAAGCTAAGATGCTAGCTTCCTTAGAGTTCAGCAGCTTCTGGCTCCATTTGTAACAAAAATTAAAAACATTTAAATTAAATTAAGTAAATTTGTAATTATTGTC